AGCAAACGTATGTTTTGCTATAACAATCGACTACTATACTTTATTTTTCGAATTAAGTATTGTTTTTCGTTTTCCTTTCGTTTGTCTTTGTCCCGGGGCTTGCGACTTTATATCACGTTGCAAAGCGCAAGCGTTTTATATATTTTAGAGACTTCTTCCGTCCCTCGGATCTCAAAAACATAATCAGGCAATTAATGCAAATAACTGTCTTAAAATGAGATTAGTAATGCATTTTGACTAGATTTGTAAATTATTTTGCAGAAACGATTCCCAATTGAGATAAACTATGAGAAGCCGTGGAAGAGGATTGACAGGTTTCAGACCGAAATGCACTAAAGGCAGCGCCAAATTCTTCTTTCAACGGCTATCCGGCATCAGTCACAAATGGACGTTCGGATAGATCCAAGTATGGATGAGTATTGCAAATAAAAGTAAACCAACAGCAGAGTGTCGGGTGATGTGAGAAAGGAGTCACTATGGGAAATGCATCAATAAACATAGTTGCCACGTGTCCATGTCGGCTCGAAATGTAAAATAAAGGAGGGATTCACAGGCGGCAGAAAAAGACAAAGTTACTAGATCATGACAAAAGAAAAATTAAAACAAAGTTAAAACAGGACAAAAAAAGTGAAGAAGGCATTACTTTTAGTGAGGAAAAGTTGAGTGGTGTTACTTTTTGCTTCAAGGCACTGCTGATTCAGATCACGTTTGGCTTGTAATTGTATAAAACATTAATGAAGTTCGACATTTGTTGTCATTTGTTTTTCATCATTAAATAAAAAAATGAGATTAAAGAAGCACTTGAAGGAGGTTTATGTGGAAGAGTATACATGTGAAAGAACATTAAATACATTTTTAAAGTCATAAGTATTAAGATTATATCATTTATGCTACTGGCCTTGAGTGTGCATGCCGGTTGAGGAATGTGTGTTTGTATGTGTATGATGTATGGTAATAGCTATGCATACATGTTGATGTGTCTAGTCCAGTTAGCAATGGTGAAGGAGACTCGACTCCGCCTAGCACGTACAGCGGTCACATGAATGAAAGTGTCTCATGAGTGTGTTAATATGGCGAAAAGCGTTGGTAGGTGGAGTTTGTCCTGTAGACGGCAGGCGAGGTTGTCATGGCTCCATTGATCCCAGCAGGACTGCCGGAAAGTGAAGTCGAGGCTTGAGCCACTCCAAAGACGCCGGTGGGAGTCCCAGGCCCGCCTGGATAGGCAGAAAAAGAAGCTGCCAACCGGCCGTACTGCTGGGATTGCTGTTGCTGTTGTTGGGATTGCTGCTGCTGATGCTGCTGTTGGACTGCCTCCATTAGCGATTGCTGTGAGGCCGCCATTATATCGCCGGGTCCAGCTGACAAGGCATAGCTGGATTCACACAAAAGGGGTTGGAAAGGGGTAGAAAGAGAGGAGTGAGGGGGGCACCCTGTTGAATGTCACATGTCTTCGTCTAAGACTTTTTCAATCCATATAATGACCTTGCATAATGTGGTTGGACCGAGTGAAATTTCGCGTTTTATTCGACGGAAAGACTAATGGTAGATTCAATTTCGTCGCTGAAAACGACTGGGAAGTTGAAGTGAGTGATGTCAGCAATAAAGGTATCCCTAACTCGTGTGAAGAGTGTGCATTCGAGCCAATCACGCTGAGTATTGGTTGGATTGAAAGCGATTAATCAACATTTTAATGAGTCAGAGCTTTATTCACCTTTGCCGGCTTGGGCTGATTTAAGGATTGATGGTGAAATTTCTAATAATACACAAA